CAATGTGTCTCTGCACCAGAGCCAAGTGACCTTTCCAAGGGGAAGCCAGGTCCTGTCACTTCTGCTCCAGACCTGCCAGGGGCTCGCTCCAAGTGGGAGGCTGAGTCTCGGTCATGACCCTGAAGGCCCCGGTGTGCTGCCTCCCCTCACATCTCCAACCTCAGCCCACCACTCTCCCCTCCTTTTCTCTCCAGCCATGCTGATCTCCTCCCTGTAGTTCACACATGTGAGGCACATCCACATCCACCTCAGGGCCTTTGCTTGGGAGGTTCCCTCTCTGGAAATCTCTTCTCCTGGGTGTCCATGGAGCTTGCTCCCTCTTTTCCTTCAGATTTTTGGTGAAATGTCATTTCTCAGAGAAGCCTTCACTGGCTTCACTCTTACAGTCCTTCCCAATAGACTATAAGTTCCATGAAGACAGGGTTTTCATTTCTTCTGTTCTCTGCCATATCCTCCAGCACCTGTTATAGCCAGGCCAGCCCCAAACAGGTACAAACAAACGGGAGCTGGTTTCTTAATACAGACAAGACTCAGTGCTCAAACATCATGGGAGTCTGAGCAGGAAAAACTTACAGAAAGATCTTCTTACTGTGTTGGCTGGTAGCACCCCCTCCTCAGCACAGCACATTGAGAGGTCACTGCTGTTTATAATCCCCCACACATTTGTTTGAAGTCCCACATTCATGTAATCAGTCATCATTCACTAAATATTTTTGAGAGCCCAGAATGTGCACAGGGTTTTGACAGCTTTCAAGAAAAAGTTTGACCAAAGATGAATTCTATGAGCCTGGCAGAGCCATGTTCCCCGTCTTTTCTCTAGATTCCAACTGTGGACACAAAAATCAAGGACACCCTCCCTCTGCTCTGTCCTTATCCCTGGACAGAGCCAAATGTGGACTCCCTGCCCACTACTCCCCTCCTCAGATCATCTCTCCTCCCAAGGTCGCATATCAAGGTCAACAGGATAGGGACAGTCTGGTCCTCTACGTCACCCTCTCTTCCACTGCCCATCTCCCAGTCTCCTAGCCCTGTCCCACTGGGCAGAGCCCCCACGCCCCTACAGTCTCCCTGGGTTACATCCATTTCCAATCACAGGACTGAGACTGTAAAATCATACAGCATGCCTTTTGGCCCTCTGCCTACATTTTCATTCCTCAAATTGCTTTAAGTTATCAGTCAACAGATGTGGACACATCACTCATCCTATGTCCAGCCCAGAAACTGCAATGCCTTCGGAGAGAAAGGAGTGGGTTAATGCCTATCTTTGGGGAGATGAAGATTGAGGACTTTTAGGATATTGAATCAGCCTCTTCCTCCCTCCTTGTTTTAGAAACCAGGCAGGATCCAGCTGCCCTAAACAAATTACTGACATCTCCATCACCCATTGCCTGCCCAGCCAGGCCTCTCCTCATCTTAGCCCCTCCGTTGATCACTGATCGCTCTTCAAGTCTTTCAGGGTGGGGAAGGGGGAAAGGATCCAGTGGGAGGGGCTTGGAGCTGGGTTTGGGGATAAGGTGACAGGGTAGGACTCGCTCAAGGAAGCACTGTACATATTGGCTTTATTGACTAATGTTGGAATGGCTGTTGCCACGGCAGCAGCGCACTCCCACTGCAGAAGAGGACAGTGGGAAACACAGGGGATGTGAGAGAAAAAAAGGAGCCAGATGGAGGGAGAGGTCACATTAGAGAGCACCAGAAAGTTCCAGGGTGCCAAGAGGACTATTAGAAAGGATCACTGCCTGGCATGGCAAGACCCTCAAGGAGTGAAGGGTCCACCCTGAGTTAACTCATAGGATCCACATAGATGAGGGTTTCCACCTCAGAAACAGAAAAGTGGTGCGTCGTGCGGGGAGCAGAGGGCATGAGGTCTAGGTGGTGGGGTGGGCCTGTGCCTCTCCTCTGGGAAGTCTTCTCAAAAGAAGCAGAATTCCAGGAGCTGTTTATGGAAAGGAGGAAAAGGCCTTGGGATTTGGGGAATATCCCATGAGAGGAGGCAGAGAGGAACAAAGAGGAATACAGAGAGGAGGAGGAGGAACTAGGCTGAAACACAGACCCAAAGGAGGGATGAGATAACCAGGCAGAGCAGGAAGGAAGGAAGTTCAGGTCCCCTGGGCAGTGGGCATCCAGTGACAAGGTCGTGCAGGTGGACAAAGCAGCGAGTGGAACAGTGTTTCATAACAACTCTAAAGAACTTAACCGCCGGAGATGAGGAGCCAAATGCAACCAGGGCACAGAACATGAGGTTTTGCCTGCACTGGAGGGAATGGATCATGGTGGACATAAGGCTTTCCAGCCAGGATGGTGAGCAGTTCATTTATTTTTGATAAGGAGGAGATGCATTTATATGCAGGAAGAGAACTTAAGAGACAAGAAGCAAGAACTACTGTAATCAGATAAATCAGACTATCGGTGTCCTCAGATTCTCCAGCTGCTGTTTTTAGGAAAGGCGGGGTTCCCATATGATTGATTCAGGGACATCTTATGTAAATTATGCAGTGGCCATGAGTAAGGATGAGGCCTGTAGAAATGATGGCTTGTGGCACTGTTACACGTGGCCTATGGGTGGGGAAGAGGGGTATGGTTGTACTTACTCAAAACTTTGGCACCAAAGGTGAGGCTTCATCCCTTTCATGAGCTGGAACCTCGTGCCCAGGGATATGCATGAGCACTTCCTGTGTCCCAGGACTGGCCTCATCCTTTGCATACTCTGTGCCTGGCCAAATTCTGGCATGATACCACTTCTTTCCTCGTAACCACCTCTTTCCTGCTTGTCATTTCCTAGCTGGACTCATAATCCCTGGCTCCCCCTGAGTTTCTAAGAGCTGGGCCCAGGCCTCTAGGGACAGCAGGTCTCATGTTCTCTGCCTCAGGACCTTCTGGTGGCTCCTGGCACCCAAGCATTTCCCTCTGCCCCTCTGAGGCAGTGCCTCTTGTCGTTCCCGTAATTAGAACAAACACACACCTATGCCTGTCTACTCGTGATGAATGGGTGGGACATCGCCTTTTTACAAGGATGGGATTATTTCTCCAAGTCTTGTATTATCTGCCTTGTATTTCCTACCAGACACTGAGTTCTTTGAGGGCACTTTCTCTGTATCTCCAACGCAAGCCAAGGGTTCGTGCCCCTTTCTGCTTAAGAATCTTATATTCTCAGTACTTTGAGTTTGCTATGATCCCTGTCCTCAAAGATTTTATGGCATCTCCATCCAGCTCCGGGATCGTGGAAGGCAGGAAGTCTTGGGCTACAGCCAGGACCAGAGAGTCATGCAGGATTCAGACCCAGTGTGCAGCCTGGAGGCCTCCAAACCCATTTATAACCATCACAGCTGCAACACCTTCTCCATGCAAGTGCTGAGGGAGGCAGTTCCCAGCTCCTATGTGGGTGTGTCCATAAGTACCTCTCACACTAGCCAGGCATGATGTTCATACTAGGAGTGGGTGAACCAGGAGACATGGACACAGAGGTGTTCAGATTGTAGGGGGAAGAACAGGAGGAGCAAGAGTGATGGAGGCTGGGGATGCGGTGGGGAGTAATCAGATGGTTACTACATTCTGGCACCATTCCCGAGCTTTTACAGCCCCAGCATATAGCTGTACCTGGAGCTTGCCCTTCCTGAAGCAAGCTTGTTTGTAGAGAATTCCCCTCTCCTGTCTCCTGCCCATCACCTCTCCCGAGAGATTTTGCCCTGGACAACCTGACCCTGACTTGGGAGGCCGTGGGAAAATGGGTAGTGCCACCCTGTGCTCCCAGGAGCAACAGTCCTAGGTTAAATGCTGCCTTCTCTGCCTGGCTCTTGCTGCCCCTCCGCCTCACCCCTCTCTCCTTTCCCAGGCAGGACAGGGAAGGAGCAGGGCAGGGAAATATCCTTTTAGAGAGCCTAGCACCCCTTCTTCAGGGCTGGCAGTGCTGGTCTCTCCTGAGTCCCTAGGCGTGACCCAGGACTTGATGATTCCCCAAGCCCTTTCACCTAGGAAGCTGGTATTATAGAGGGACAGTGAGCCAGGGGTGTCAATGACTTTGACAAGGTCATGCAGGCAACTAGAATGGAAATCAGGTCTCTTGATCCCAAGGGCTGGTCCCTTCTCCCAGTGCCCTCAGCCCCTACCCTGTCAAGCCATTCTTGACCTACCCCAGCCCCCTACCTTCTGCGCTCAGGAGAGCACCCTTGTGTCTGAGATGTAAGGTAGGAAGGGTTTGGGGAATGGGGACCGAGAGTGGTTTGGGGCAGGAGCCCAGCTGCTCTGCCAGGCTCCAGGGTTCCGCTTATCTGTCCAGCTTTCTTACCTGTACTCCCTTCTCGGCGGGTGCCTTCTCCCGACGCTGCAGAGGACCACCCGTGCCCTCCCTGAACCCAGCCCTCCTCTACGCCGAAAGCCAGGACAAAACCTAGTCCTCTCTTTTATTTGCCCCGTACCTCTCACTCATCCACCCCCGGAGCTCCGCTTGTAGATACCTCCCCCTCCCGAGCCAGAAATAGACACACACGCTCTCCCCCACCTCCCTCCCCTCGCGCACACTCCTCCCCTCCTCCTGTTTGCTCCCCGCCTTCTCCTCCCCTGCTTCCTCCCTCGGAGCTGCAGCCCGCAGCCTTTACTGGAGCGGGCGGCGGAGTGCGGAGGGCGCTGCCTGGCGGTGCCCAGCCCGCAGGATTGGGACTGGGAAGCCGCGGGGCCGGGGAGCCGGGAGCCTAGCGCTGCGGCACCTCCGGGCTTCGATGCAGCCGCAGGGTTTCCATCCTTCCTTTGACTGATTTTTAATTGTTAATTTCTTTCCCCCGCCCCGCCCCCTTTCCTCCGTCCCCGCCCCATCACTTCACGGTTTCCGTGCTCTTCCCTTTGCCCCTGCTTCCTTCCTCGCGTTTCTTTGCCGGGCGACCCCGGCTCGCCTTCCCCGTCCTCCCGTGCTGCCACCCCCTCCTCTCCCTTCTTCCTCGGTTTCTTCCGTCCTCTCCCCCCTCCTCCGCCTGCTCCCCGCCCCCTCCCCCGCCCTGTGCCTGCAGACGCGCGGATCGTCCATGCGCTCCTCGCGGGCAGAATGCTGGGCAGCAGCGTCAAGAGCGCGCAGCCTGAGGTGGAGCTGAGCAGCGGTGGCGGCGACGAGGGCGCGGACGAGCCGCGGGGAGCCGGCAAGAAGGCGGCTGCAGCCGACGGCCGAGGCATGCTGCCCAAGCGCGCCAAGGCGCCCGGCGGCGGCGGCATCAGCATGGCCAAGGCCAGCGCGGCAGAGCTGAAGGTCTTCAAGTCCGGCAGCGTGGACAGCCGTGTCCCCGGCGGGCCACCCACCTCCAACCTGCGCAAACAGAAGTCGCTCACGAACCTCTCGTTCCTCACGGATTCCGAGAAAAAGCTGCAGCTCTATGAACCCGAGTGGAGCGACGATATGGCCAAGGCACCCAAGGGTTTGGGCAAGATGGGGTCCAAGGGCCGCGAGGCGCCGCTGATGTCCAAGACGCTGTCCAAGTCTGAGCACTCGCTCTTCCAGGCCAAGGGCAGCCCGGCGGGCGGCGCCAAGACTCCCCTGGCCCCTCTGGCTCCCAGCCTGGGAAAACCGAGCCGGATCCCGCGCGGACCCTACGCGGAGGTCAAGCCCCTCAGCAAGGCGCCCGAGGCGGCGGTGAGCGACGACGGCAAATCGGACGACGAGCTGCTCTCCAGCAAGGCCAAAGCGCAGAAAGGCTCCGGGCCAGTGCCCCCAGCCAAGGGCCAGGAGGAACGCGCCTTCCTCAAGGTGGACCCCGAGCTCGTGGTGACCGTGTTGGGCGACCTGGAGCAGCTACTCTTCAGCCAGATGCTGGGTGAGTCCTGCCGCCCCGCCCCACCCCGCCCCTGGCTTTCTCCTGGCCAGCTGCAAGGGAAGGTGGGGGGAAAGTAGAGCTTCCTCCTCCTCCCCCTCCTTAGGACTCTCTTAATCGCGGAGCTGGTGAGGAGGGGCGTTGCTCCCAGATGTGCAGGGTTGGCCCACCTCTAGACGCCTGGCTAAGTGTGTCTTCAAGACGCTATGGGTGAGAACCCAGGCTTTATTCTGGCCTGCCTGAGGTGAGGCTGGACAATGGCCTGGGGGAGTTAGGTTCTCAGAAATAGAACCCATTAACATCCTGGAATTTTAAAGTCCAGAATTCCTATATGGCAAAACCTGGGGCTGGGGGAGACCTCCGCTGTGGAGACAGGAGAGCATCAGCATTGCTGGGGGACGTCCTCCGGGAGAGCCTGCATCTAGAGGACAGATGTGGGGAGAGCAGATGTCAGCGCCAGTTGGCTCTGGAGCTGAGCTGAGGCTCTACTTCCTCTGTGGATCCCGGGTGGGAGCGCGAGTCGGATTTCCCGGGTGTGGGGTTCTTGGCAAGGAGAAGCGTCTGGGGTTAGGGGCCTGGCGGGCAGCCAGCTGTGCACATCTGGATGTGCGTCCCACACCTCAGTCCCAGCTCTGGCCCCAACCCCTAATCCCCAGCCCTGAGGTCTTTTAGAGGAAGGTCTAGGTTTTTGCGCCGAGACTCTGCTTTGACCCTTTGGCTAAGGGAAGCCGAGCAGGCGGGAAGGGAGGAACAAAGATTGCTCTAGTGGAGGAAGCGCAGAGAGCTGTTCCATTGTTCTCCGAGCCTGAAGAGTCCGTGCAAAAAATCCGGAGCGGGCCACCAAAACTGCTAGCTCTCGATAGGCCCCCTGCCCTCAGGGACGGATGGATCACGGATATTCTGGACACCAGACTACTGAGCCTCGGGAGCCCTCATGGCCGGTGTTGTTGGGGCTAAGTGGGACGGCGGCCAGAGAGGCCTGGAGGCCAGGAGAGCCGCCTTGGCTGCGCGGACTTGTTGCGATGGCTGGGCCGTGGGTCCGCGGGTGCTGGCGCCGTGGGACGCCAGCTTGCGGGTCCCCTGCAGGCTGCCCGCCCCGCTGGGGGCTGGGAAGGGGAGTGTCTGTGCGTGTGAAGGGGCGGGGCTGAGTGACGGTCGGCAGGCTGAGTGACGGTGGGCAGTGGAGATGGATGAGAGAGCTCTCCTGGCGGACCTGTAGAAGATGAAGCCGAAGGAGACTGGGCCTGCTGCAGTCTTCCTGGCCAACCCCCTCCCCCAGCTCCCGGGTGAGCCAGGATGAGGGTCTCCTGACCAGGGGCAATGATTTCAGCTCTTCTGAGGACTGATCCTCACACAGGAGGCCGAAGATGGGCTTTGCAGAGGCAATCAGGAGGCTGGACAAGGGTAGAAAGGGAAGAGCAGCCTCGTCCCTGGAATAATGCTCCTGAAAGTCAGGACTCCACGGGGGAGCTAGGGATGGGGTGGACCAGTGCAGAGTGGCAGGGCAGCCTCACCCTGCACAGGAAGTTTGCCATCCCATGCCTGGTGCCTGCTGAGCCTGCCCTCAAGGAGCCTGCAGTTCAGTGGAACAAGACAAACAGCAAGGGGAAAAATAAATAAAATAATCGCAGGCCCGAAGGAGGGCTGCAGAGAAAATGATATTGGACTGTGTGCTGGGGAGGGGCTGGGAAGGGGAGGCCTGCTTTGGGCCTGCTGAAGGTGAGGTAATCAAATTGTGCCCGAGGCATGAGGAGGAGGCAGCAGCTTGAGGGGATGAACATTGTTTTGGGATTGAGAAGAGGTTAGGCCCTTCTGTGTGACTTGTGTCAGGCACAGACTAGCAGAGGACACAGGCCTGTGTTCAAGGTCAGGGCTCCCCCTTTTTGAGGTGATGTAGCCCATCTGGCCCTCCCCTATCCTGGCGGTGCCCTACACTGCCCCAGGAACTGGCTGTCCTTCGAAGGCCTTTTAGTTGCTTCACAAGAAGCGTGACCACAGGAACCCTGACAACTAGTCCTAGAACTGGCTTGGAGCCTGGGAGAAGCTGAGCTGTGGTCCCTCATTCCTGCTCAGCAGCTGTCACTTCTGCAGGGACACCTCCTTGGGAGCCTCTCAGCAGCTGTGGGGTGGGGAGACAACACTGCTTTGGCCATCTAGATGGTGAGATGCAGGGTCAAAGGGATGAGGGGCCTGTCACCTCTGAGTTGATGGTGGCAGGGAGATTCTGCGTTTGTCTCCTCAGACCTGCCTCACAGCTCTTTCTAGAAGACTTGACTGAGAGAAGGGAGAGGTGGAAGGTACAGAGAACAAGATGGTGTCTGCTGGCGTGGGCCTCCAGAGCTGCCCTGAGGACTCTTAGAGGGCAGAGGGACAGTGCTCTCAGGTGGGGGAAGTGCGATGGGAAAGTTGGCCGACTATCTCCAACTGAGAGGTCCAAGGTGGGGCGGGGCCCTAGGAGGCAGTGCTTGGCATCAGATGGGTGGAGTGTCAGCTGGTGGGTGGGGCATCAGCTGGTGACTCCAGCATGAACTGATCCAGGGAGTTGCCTTTTACCATCAGTAATGGCTCCAATGCCAAGGTTTTCTCCTGTGTGAAGGTGGAGGGTGGATTGACCAGTGAAGGTTCAGGGGAAGGTAGAAAAGATTTGCTTCCCAGAGCCCGTGAGGCATTCCCATGTGAGGACGGGCCTTTGGTGGACAGCAAGGTAGTTGTGGGGAGAATGGCTGCCTTGATCTCTCAGGATGGCGGCTAAAGATGCTGGGGATTTGACCCTGCTCGTGAGGCTCAGTGTCAGGCTATGCTCTCTCTCTGGTACTGTCTCAGACCCAAGAAGCTGCCAAGACCCAGTTTCTGAGGCAGATGGTGGGGGGAGGTGAGGCAGCCCCAAATAAGAGCCTTTCTGGAATAAAAGGGAAGAATTGAAACCTGATCATCCCCTTTCCAGAAATCAGCTGGGGCCCAGATGGTTTAGACAATCTCCCTATCCCTTCCCCATCCGTGGAAGCTGCCAAGTAATAGGGTCCCACTGGGGAACCCCAGCAGCTTAGAAGACTGAAGGGTGGGTCTAGGGGGAAATGGCCCAGTTCCAGGAATCAGAGGCCTTAGTCCACATCACGCAATTTGGCACACTGAGGAAGGCTACCAAGCCTGGGTCAGGGGCAGGGCAGGAAGATGTATCCCTAAGCCCCCTGTCCAGAAGTCCTAAGCTCTGGATCCTCCCCTGGGGCTTAGTTTCTCCATTTGTGAGTGGAAGAGACAATTTCCATGACTCACCCTTACCCTGTAGGGATGGGGTGGTGATTAGACCAGGAAAATGTCCCTCATGGCTTAAAGAGAACTGACAGTGATGTACAGCATTTGAATCCTACAAAAATATTCCTCTTCCTCATTGGCTTGTCCTGGCCTAATGAGCTTACATGAAATCAGTTGACTGCCTCAAATTATTCAGCTTTCCCCACTTCTGACCTCCAGGAAAAAGGGGCACGGTGGAGCAGTTGAGACTGTCCAAGGTCAGAGTATGAAAACCAGGAACTTGAGAGTTCTTAGACCCACTCCCTCACCAAGGTGTCTGGCATCCTGGGGGAGGGCTTGCTGTGGCAAAGGTAGGCCTCAGAATTGTAGGCCAAATAGAAAGGAGAAAGAAGCGCAGGAAGCTATCCATTTCTAAGCCTTTTGCTTGCTGGCTTGGCAGGGAAGAGGCAAGGGCAGCTACAAGGTGGGAAGGGGCAACTCCAGAGAATTTGCTTGGGGATATTTTGGGATGAAATGTCCTCACACATATTTTTTCTCTTTTTGTCCAGTGCTTTAGGTGGTAGGGTGGGCACAGGCTATGTGAACTCTGCAAAAATCTACTGCCCAGAGCAGTAGGTGATGTGTTCGAGCACAGCCAGCGCTCCCAGTGTCAGAAGGCGCACCTGCCCGCCCAGAACCATGCCTGTTATTTCCAGGGCCTCCCTGGGCTAGCAGAAGAGCATGGATGACGCTCACTTCTGCCCCTCCCTTGGCAGGGGAGGTTTGTGCCATCACAGGCTGGAGGAGGAGCTGTGGCAGGTGCAGGCCCACAGGCGCTCATGTATTGTGTGGAGCAGGAACTGGCTCAGAACCTCAGAGCAGTGAAGCCTCCTACCTTCCTCAGGGTTAGCACTCAGGAGAATGTTTCTTGTCCTGCCATGATGAGGCTGTTTTCTTCCAAGGCCAGGCTTGGGCCCCCACCCAAGGTGTTGACAAGAGGTCCTGCTCTTCCCCTTTGGCCATTGTCTTGCTCAGATTGCTGCAGCCGGAGCTGTTCTTACAGGGCTGTCCAGGTTCTGCTATAGGTCAGACCCTCCACTCTGAGAAGATGGCACAGATGGAGCAGAAGAGCTGCTGCCATTCCAGCAGCTGCTCTGGTTCCCTGACGCATGAACTGACCCAGGGAGATGCCTTTTACATCAGTGACTGCTCCCACCCCAAGCAGAGGCCTATGTAGACTGGGATTCAGTGGGTAACAGGGCCATGTCACCTGAAATCCTGGGTGTTTCCTGACCATCCCTCTTGTTCCACATTTCCCCACTTCTTTGCCCATTCTGCTTCTGGGATTGCAGCTACTTACTCCTTCCTTTCTCCCATCCCAAGCTGCCAGCACCAGATCCTTCCTCTTCTGCTAATCTCCTCTTCTGCCCCTCCCTGCAGTGTCCCTCTGGACATGTCCACCGCTGACAGCCTCTAACCTCAGGGCTGAAGGCACAGGTGCTTCCTGGGGCTCTAGGAAGAAGAGTCCTGCATGAACCAGGCTAAGCAGAGCCCCGTGCTCCCTAACTGCGGCTCTGCACCCTGCTGCTCAGCCACCTCTGCAGCACACTGCAGTGTCTCCCTGGACAGCTAGCGAGAGAGAAGTCCCCTCCTCTCTGCAGAATACTCCGCCTTGCTCAGCCTTCCGTGGGATTTCATAGAACCACAGAATGGAAATTGTCTAGTTGAGCCTCCCACTTAAAGCTGAAACAAATCCCTCTATGGCATCATAG